ACCTCCCCAGGGAGCCAGGACTGTCGGCAAATGATGGAGACAGGCTTGGCAAAAAGGTGTTATTTTAGAGGACTGGGTATTATTATGACAACAAAACAGCTTCACTGTAGTCACTAAATTAGACTAAGTTTCTTATTACAGATAACATACCCATTTCAACCCGCACGAACAGCCTGATGGGTTTATGAAAAATAATCACCAGGAAAGGAGCTGGGTCTGACAGACTCCAATTTTTAAACCAAGTGCCTCTCTTCTGGAAATGTGAGTAATGAGACACGTAATGTTGCAAAAATCTTAAGCTACAGTAATGTATGACTTTTTTTATCATGATCTAACGTTTTAATTCAACATGTGCTTGTAATCAGATGTCCTTGATTTTATCTTACGCTCTTAAACAAAATCTGTAGAAACCTAGATTTAAAGTACTAGAAGAGAAAGATATTTTCAGGATGTTTTAGGATTTGAGAAATGAAGAGATACTTTCTATGTTTCTGTCTACCTGCTTACAGTGAGGAGGCAAGATGGAGCTAACCCTACACTGAGGGATTGATGTTCCAGGATGAATGGACTTCACCAGAACAAATTCCTGGTGGTGCTGTCTTCATACCTGCTTTTCATCTTGCAATATATCCAGCCTAGTATGTCTTCTGGAAGCACTGACTGTAACCCACACTGCTGCTCCCCCATCACAGCAGCCACTCCTGCTCCTGAGCAGGCTATTATCATCTTCTTTTCTTTCTCCTGAAGTTGTACCTGGCAAAGCTATGCTTACCCAAACTTACTCTCCTTTCAGTATACCCTTAGCCATAGACATCTCTGGATTAAAAAGGCTTGTTTTTGAATGCAGCCTCTGATATGATATTATTATAACCATTTTAAAGTGCCTTTTTTTTACCATTTTTGAGGCTATTTGCAACGAAGACAGAACTTCACTGAATGTTATAGCTGACATTTACTTAATACTACTTTATAAAATGCATTCTAAATTCATGAAATTAAATCTGCATTTACATGAGGCTTTGCCACATTGCCTGGACAAGAAATGCCTCCTCCAGCCACCTCCCTTTTTCCTGCTTAAAATGATTCCACAATACTTTGGGGAATGCATAAACAGGAAAAGAGATGCAATACCCATGTATGCTACAAATATAGTCAAGAGAAGAGAAAAAGCATGTCCAGCTACTTGCATACCTCAGATAACCTGAGAGCTCACACTTCAAATGAGACTTTGCTTCAGTGATTCTCCAGCCTATGGAGATAGAGATCTCTAACTCTATGGAGATAGAGATGCAACAACTTGAAAAGAAAGTGTCTTTGATAATGAAATATTCTTCTCCTTCAACAGCCTCAGAAAACATGGATTATCATACTCTGTTGATTAAAATCAGAGAGTAAAAATAACTTTCAAACAGCAACCTCAACACCGAATCTTGTTTAATTTATGCATCTGGATAAAGGTGCTGTAGATGCATGATCACAGTCACTGGATATCTACCTTTTCTTGAACAAGCCATTACACTTCAGATTATCCAGTTAATGTTACATAAAACTTCTCAAGGACCCAATACAATAAGTTAACTCCTAAGACACATATTTATAGAAATTACTTCACACTAGTAATAAAGAAATCATGGAGTTCCTGCATGGGTAATAAAAGCAAACAGATAATATCAGTGTGAACCTGTCAACTTCCTTGCTCCCAGTCCCTACCTCCCCTGTAGGGACACAGATAAGGACAACCTGGAAAATCGCAAAGCTCCTACCCCTTCAGAAGGGGGAAAAGAAGGTAAATTCCTCCCTGCTTTGCTACAAATGCAACTTTCTTGCTTGTCCAGAAACTGTTTTCTATAAGCGATAACTTACAATGGGAATTGGCCAAGTCATACTTCATTCAGTCTTGAATAAAAACTTTGTTTGGAGTCTCAAACAACACTAGCTAGGGAGCTTTAATGGTCTGATGGTGATTAATTACTTCATACAAACTGACACTTATCTGTAACAACGAGGTCAGAAGACAATCAAAACATCTTTATATTCCTATTTTCAGGTTATTTCAGGAGAATGCATTCCAAATGAGTTATGCAAAGAGCAATAGAACAAAAATACTTCTAGTTTTAATTTCCTTGAAATCAACTGCTCTGGCAAACACAGGAAGAAAATTTACGAGAAGGAAACCACTTACATAGCGAGAAGCATGTATTTAATTAAATGCTTTGCAGAGATACATGAATAAAGCTATGTGCATGACTTTCTTTAGGGACAGCCCCAGCTGTTTATTTTTTAGAAAGGAACAAACAAAAAAAAAAAGTGGAGAGCACAGACGCAATAAAGAAATAAAAATCTAACTTTGTACCTACATACTTTACAAAATAAAGCATGTTAGGGTACAAAACATTCTATATACTGAATGACCAACAAATAAATGCACTGTAACATTGTTCTCTCAAACACCATAAGCCTAACAGCTAAGCTCTGAAAATGACATTGACAGTAGGCATCTTTATTTCATCAGCCTTCTAAAGAGTCATTTAGCACCATCATGTTTTTGGTTTTCTTTGCCCTGTCTATATCCTTTCTTGAAATAGCAACCAAAGCATAGCACCTTTTAATATCTAAAACAAAAACAGGAATAGTAATTGCATCCCAACTTCCAGAGATGAGGTAGCTCATGCTAAGAAATGATGGAACTTTCCTGCCTTGACAACTCAAGGCCAGTAAGTCAAGTTATTGGTGATGCATGTCTGGATGTCAGCTAAAACCAATAAATTTCTATATTTTCTTTATTAGCAATTGGTCTGGTATACATGTGAATGACTTGCAATGTACAGAAATTGGCACCATAGCTAAGACATCTGTATAATTTGATACGTAATGGCTTCTTAGATGGGCAAGTATTGGAAAATCAACAAATATTGGGTTTAAGATGTATCTTGAAGATTAAGGACAATTTAATGGAATTGAACAGATACGTTGTGAGAAGTCTGGCCTTAAATTTAAGACATGGAACACCCCTACTGAAAACTCCTATTTACCCCAGTAGTGGTTTTACTTCATAAATTAATCATGGCTACAAAACACTCTTCTGGGGAGACTTACATAGGAAAGTGAAGAAAAGACAATGCCAAATTAAGATGATCTTGTCTGAAGAGATTTTCTTCCACAAAAGACACAGATTTCTGTGAATGGCTATCATACTGGCAACCACAGGAAGACAAACTGGGGTAGAGGGAGTAGGTATGGTTGAAATATAGCCAACAGTTTACAAAAGTGCTCTACTTTTCTGTTATTCAGTATGCATCAAAGCAAAAGAAATACTCTCCTTAGAGCTTTACATAGCCCCACATTAAAACTATCTATTTTGAATACCTGTAAATTTCAAAATACTTTGAAACAAAACTGAGGAAAAAAATTCATATTACTTTAAAAAGATGGTCATGGACCATCTTTAAATTATACTGTTGTACCAAAAAGTTGGTTTCAATCATTTCAAACAGAAGGTTTGTAAGTAAAATAAATATTCCAAAGGAGGCCTGGCATTTAAAAAGAACTGTACATACAATGCTGATCCAGTATCAGCCATTACTTCAAGAGTCTCAGGATTAACTTCAATCAGTCCAAGTTCATGTTTTGCTGCTGCTGCTGGATAGTGTGCTAATTTCCCCCTTTCCTCTTACACAAAGCAAACTGGCCCAATTTCAATTCCAAACTCCTGGTCGGTACTGCCGATGTCTACGGGCGCAATATCAACGATGGGTAGACGTGCCACGTTCTGGGTTCTGTATTCAAACACTGTCTTGCCCACGTTCCCGTTGCGTTTCTACAGGGGGGAAAAGGAAAAGAAACAAAAAAGAAACTTAGTCCAGAGCTCATGTCAGAAGGGGCCCAAATTCCAACTGGTGAGTCAGTTGTTTGATTGCTCAGAAGGATCTCACTGTATCTTCACTGAGCAACACACTCCCACCTGCACTGCACCTTGGTTAGTTTGAAATGCATATCTCTTGCTGTTACAGTAATGACCAGACCTGTCAGACTGACACAGCAGGAAAGATTTTTCTCTATGCTATGAAATTCTTTCTATGTTAATACATACCTGCACACATAATCATGGGCTACACTATTTTAAAGCACAGAGAATAGTCTAATTTATGTCAACTGCAAAACTAATTTTATAAATATTTTGCCAGTACCTTGTACTTGGCTGAAACTGTTACTGGACATGAAAAATCTGCTAGAATTGGAACAGGTTGCCCAGGGAGCTGGTGGAGTCACCATCCCCAGAAGTGTTTAAGAGGCATCTGGATCTGGCACTGGAAGTTATGATTTAGGGGTTACAGCAGAATGGCAGGCTAATGGTTGGACTCAAGGATCTTAGAGGTCTCTTCCAACCTTGATGATTCTATGATTTTACTACTTGCTGGTTTCTATGCCCACTAAGAATATTTTGGGGGAACGTTTTCCTTTCCAGCTCAGTCAGTTACAGTACGCATGACCTTCCTCCACAGTACTGCTGTGACAATCTTCCCCATCTGGCAGACAAAGGTTTGTGGTTATCTCACCAATTTGTGTGATTCCTCACACAGGTAAATGAATACTGAGAAATACAAAATGGCAAGACAGTTATCTCACTATGCTCACTAATGAGTAGTAATTTACAAATATCCTCCTCATAGTGCAGACTTCTGTGTGAAGCCAGAATTGTAGTAAAATGCCTATTTGATCAGTAGCTTCTACAATTCATGATAAAATTTTTCAGCATTTTTATTATTTCTTTCTATGGACATTTTCCTAATTCAAGAGAGAACTGGAAAGGGACAAAAGTCCTTTTCCTCCATAACAAATGATGACCTCCCCAAACTCACAGAGCAGCTGTCATGCAGAACAGTGTATCTGAATCGGCTGTTTCCCTCTGCTTTGATCTCCAGGTCATTGGCCCCTTTGAGAATCACAGCTTTTTTCAGATTCTTGGTCTGGTCATCCATGTATCCAACACTGTTCTTACAAAGGTAGGTAATGTTCTGGGAAGCTTCCTTTGATAGGAGGCGCAGAAATGTCATCTGAGTGACAGCTGTATCCCCATACACAAACTGTGAACAGCAAGAAACAGATCAACTTACATTAAAATTCATTAAGAGTTCATGAATTATAGAAACATCTGTCATTATCATAGCCCCTTTCAGCCATGACTAGCAGGAGCACTATTATGTGAAACCTAAGAATGGTTTCTTTTGTAACTTGCTGCCAATCGAGGACAAAGAAACATAGACATTGTGTAACAGGGAGAATTCGGGAGAATTTTGACTGCAAAGCTCTGCAACTGAACAACTCAAAGGCAGTTGGGCCTCCACAGACATGCCAAGATATGGAATGAATTCTGCCTTGTTTCCAAAAGGGATTATTACACATGTAACAGTGCATTAGAGCAACCTTCAAGTTAAGAAACATCAAGCAGAGAAAACCCTTTTACAGTGGTACCTGCTATACTGCAACTTCTGCAACTCATTTTCTGTAACCTTTGTACTGTATTTAGAAGCACCACAAACAGCCAAAGTTTGACTCTACAAAAAATTTGCACATTTGCATATAGTTTCACCAACCAACCAACTTGCATGGAAGTCTGATGAATGTTTCACGAAGTCCCACTATTTCTACAATTTTTCTACCAATAACAAAAATTATAAAATTGTTTAGATTTTTGGGTTTTCCTCTACATGTGCCATTTTATTCAGTTTAGATTTTTGGTTTTTTCCTCTACATGTGCCATTTTATTCATGTTATTTTGAATCATTGCAACATTAAAAAACAACAGTCAAGAATGACTAAAAATTTATACATTTCACTGAAACTGATGAAAAGAGAAGAAGATCTTATTCATTGATACTGTCATAATTTATAAAATGTGCTATCTCTGTTTAGCATCTTGGACACACTTATTATTTAGAATCCATAAGGAGTGTATATGACTATTACTCAGTTCAAACTATTTTTATTATTTAGAACCCATAAGGAGTGCATATGACTATTACTCAGTTCAAACTATTAGTTACCAAAATCTGGCAGTGTTTAAAAAAAATTAAATATTCTTTTATGTATTCCTCAAGATAACTTATTGCTCCAAAGAGCATCTGACTTAGAAAAACCCTACATGTAGCTCTGCAGGCAGGTAAACATCAGCTGTGACATCTTGGGTCATGGCAAGATCTCCTGAATTTAATAATAAGTGAATGCATCTCAAAAAAAGCAATCAGTATCACACATGTTCTCAATATCAAATCTGTTCTCAGCTGTTGAAGTCTGAAGGACTGTTTTCAGGAATCCAGTTGATAACAGCATTTTATTTTTTTTTACACACCGAACACTTAATTTTAAGACAGTAACTCCTTATGAAATAACACTTGAAGATACATACTGTGCTTTTGATAAACTAGGAATAAAAATGGCAAAAGATAGTTCATTGATTATATATTTTACATAGGATACACTTCTGTTATTTGTCAGGATTACTAACTCTAATTTTAGAAGTTACCACAGAGGGAAAACACAACAGAAAGGAGAGTGCAATTTTTGCCTGCCTAGAGATCGATGCGTTCGGCATGGACCAACCTGATTAACTCTAATTTTAGAAGTTACCACAGGGGGAAAACACAACAGAAAGGCGAGTGCAATTTTTGCCTGCCTAGAGTTCGATGCGTTCGGCATGGACCAACCTGACACATGATAACAATTGTACTTTCTTTGAAAACAAATTTATAAAGTAAATTTTGCATTTTTCACTGTAAAGAGTTTTCTGAAAGAAAGAGCAGAATTCAACTAAAACAGCAGAGATCTGGATCATGTATTAGGGTAAAAGTACACTGCTTTAAGGATGAGGTAGTCATTTAGTAAAATACGTTGCTAGAGAAGCTGATGATGTTGTGATCAAGAGAAATAAATCTCTTCCAGCAGTGGTCTACTTATAGCAAATCCTGTCTTACACACATTTGCATTGTTTTTCCCATCTATTTTCTATCTTTTCTGTAGAGTAATAACAACCAATTAAACATAACCCAGTCAATAAATACTTGTAATGTTCTGACTGTAGCAGACTCCACTCATAGGAACAGATGAAGTTCTAAACCAGAAGAAAACAAGTTTCACAGAAGCCAATTCTTCTATCTTTTCTGCAGAGTAATAACAACCAATTAAACATAACCCAGTCAATAAATACTTGTAATGTTCTGACTGTAGCAGACTCCACTCATAGGAACAGATGAAGTTCTAAACCAGAAGAAAACAAGTTTCACAGAAGCCAATTCTTAACATGAACTGTGTTGATTTACCTGTGACCCCCTGTTCATATCAAGGCCATACCAAACAGGCTTTACTTCAGATGACCTGCTGGCCCACCATGTTTTGCGGGGCACCGTAGATGGGTTTGCAGAAATACAGGTCTCTCCAGTTTCCATGTTGCAGTACACTTTTATAGCATCTTCAACACATCCTTGGTTAGGATCAATCCAATATTCACCTACAAAGAACATAAAAAGTGATCCCGCTATGTTATGAAGATTCTTGAAATAACTGGGAAGACATAGGCAAAATTCATACAGGCACATGTATGAATCTTATGTGTGCTTTGATATATGTGCTATGGGTATACACTATAATGTTGCCTCCAGATAAAAGCTGGTCAGTATTTCTAACATTCTAAAATTGGGGAATTCAAACATGAAAGCTGTTTGTGGTGGTTTAAATCCATTGCGTGAAATATGGTTCCCTGATTCATGTCAATACGGAGCAATGTTAGAATCTCTACATATATATCTTTACCTCAATATTGTTTTGTTAATATAAGCCTTATATTATTTGTGATACTGTTTATTTGGCATTGGAAGCTGCTATGACACATAGTCAGGCACTAAAAGCCGAGAGGGCAGAGAGCTGTGTGAGGGCAGAGCCTTTGGCACTGCCCCGGCCTCACCACCCACGGGTGAGGGAGAGAGAGCAGAGCCGCGTCCGGCGGCACCGGGGGAGGTGTGCTCGGCGGGGCCCAGAGACTGATTGTGAACTTAGGCTGAATAATATAGATTGTTAAGGACATTTTGTTTGCTTAGCATTTACCATGTTTTGTCAAGCTGTGTTGTTCCTGGAGGAACTTTTTGGGGTTCGTTTTTGGGGTTCGATCTGGACAATAATTGATTTCTGGCTGAGTCTGCCAGAGGAGAAGGGGTTAAATTTAGGCTGATGCTTTTAGGTGTTTGCTCATGAACCTGCGCGCAAGCTGGAGAAGACTCAAGGAGGCGAAGTTAGCATGTCCTGGCAAAGACCTCCCTTTTCTCGGGACAGTCATGAATATGTATTAACAACGAGTTTATAAACCGAACCCAGACCTGTCGGTGCGTGTTAGTAGAGCAGAGACTCCCCGCGCACCCAGCGCTGTTTGCTTGCTTGCTTAAATTCACATAATAAATTGTAAATTTTGACTGCAGTCCTGTTTGGGGACTCAGTCATTTATAACACATTGCAAAGCTCCTGAACGCTCCAAGTGCACAAAGAACACACTAGAAGACTAGAAGACTATTTACTCTACATATGAGAAACCAATGTGAGCCTCTCCTGAATACTGATTTGGAAGCAAAGTTTCAGAAAACAGGGCAAAAGCTGGAAGGCCTGCCACATATTATCTAAATTTCTAAATTAGGGAAATTCCTAAATGGCATGTTAGTGCATCATCACCTGTGAATTGCTAGTACGGAACAGCAGTACAGAATTCTGGATGGAAAGCGCTCACAGGCCACCAGCCCACAGGTAACACTTTGAGCTAATAACAAAATTATTCCCAAATATTCACAACTGGTGTCCCAACCTATCTCTGTCATCATGTAAGTGGTACTCCACTTATTTTGGAAACACTGAATAACTAAAATATGGGATACATCAGATTATATCCTTCATTGGCAAGAAGAAATAACTTTCTGAGAGAAGCTTTCAGCTCCTATTGTGAATATCGATTTAGGCCATCAAAATCTGCGTTACACGTTTTTTTCCAGTGACCAAGTAAATTTAGGCCATCAAAGTCTGCATTACACGTTTTTTTCCAGTGACCAAGTATACACTGGAAACAAGTGAGCATCATGTAGCCCATACAGACGGTGTGTTTATACATACCACTCCTCTTGGAGGGGTGGCACAGCTTCAGGTCATCACAGGTCCGTGCTGGGTGTTTCTTTGAGCCATCTGGGCTCCGCATAGTCTCAATCTGGCTGCTCAGGGATTTCAGTGTGGCATGAACTCCTGGGTCTGTTTTATTGTGGTCATCTGGGGCTGCTTCATCTTCAGTAAACTCCGGTAGTGGATCTGCCATAGCATCATCATAGTGTCCCATAATGTCACCAATGGCAGCAGTGAGGTGGCCTGGAGGTCCTGGAGGGCCAGGTGGACCAGGCTCACCTGGTGGACCCTAAGGTTCAAAACAAAAAGGTAACAGAGGTAAAGTAAATGCTATGCAAAATGACAGCAAAGCCAGCCATTAAACCCCCCCAAAACTTCAGGACAAGTTACCCTAATGCACAGGGAATAATTCAGTTATAAACAATTCACTTTTCCGGAAACAGGGCTAGGAGATTAGAACGGCATGTGAGGTATTCTCTCTGCTTCATATCCTCTCTGATTGTCTTAATGCTTTATTCACATTTTTCTTGCTCCTCATTTTAGATTTAACAGCTGGAAAAAGTCACCAAGGAATGGTCTCCTCATTCTGTTTTTTTAAGCCATCTGTCCCAACAGCTGTAAGTGATTTTTAGAGCAATTTAAAATTCCTGCTTCCACTGAGTTGCCTCAGGCATATTTTCAATTAGTAAATTCCTGGATGGAAAATTTGGCACTGGAAACATCTTTACATTTACCCAGGACAGTGCTGAGCTTTCTGGCCACAGAACCTGGGGTTCCTGTGAGAGAGAATCTACATCATCCTTACTTGGAAGAGCACGTGTTTTCCTGACTAAGTCAACTTTCCCAAATGAAATGTTGTGAGGTCCTTCTGTCAACATGAATCGTGGCACATGGGGAGGTAATTCAGTCTTGACAAGGAAGGTATCTGTTAATAAACATCTCTGCATCTGCCAGCTCTGCTTTGGCAACACAAATTCTGTAACATATCTTCATTTGAAGTTTGATGCTCTGGTGGATCAAAATTGGCATTTCCTTTGAGAATAATTACTTTAGAATTCACAATTAGCCCTCCAAATGCTTGCTAGAGAGTACACACACCCCCAAACTAACACACACTGTGTCTGACAAATGAAATCTTAGCTTTTCGGTTCTGATTTATAGTTGCATGCAAGCCACTGTGGAAAGCAAAACCTAAAATATTGGTATGTGATATTTCTTTTACTGTCTCACTATGCAGATGAAGTACCTGGAGAGCACATAAGTATATATGGTGTGTGTGT